AACCAGCACAACCTAAATTATCTGCTGGGGGTTGTCTGCTTTAGAAGAGGATAGTTTATAGTTTGAATGGCAGAAGGGTCATGGGGCATTAATTTGGATCAAAAATAGGGAGGAATCTGTATGTATCCACAAAGATACATGGCAAGCATCACTTTTTTTTCCTGAAATATATTGGGCTAGAAAGCTAATTTACACTTCCCCTCACTAGTATATAATACAACAGAATCTTCAGGTTAGAAAACTCAAAAGCAATATGCATCTCATAGTATATACTAGTATATAATACTAGCATATAGTATTACAGAATCTTCAGGTTAGAAAACTCATAGTAAAAGCAATATGCATCTTCACTCCAGTCCTCTTACAATGATGTTTGCATTGAAGTGTTTGTGGTCATGGATTGCTTTGGACCTCCAGCCACCTTCTTGTTTGTCATTTTTTCTTTCGGAATTTGGGCCCCAATCCAAACACATTGCATCAGGCATGGTTTGCTGGGTGAGGAGGAGAGCAGGACTATCACCTCCCTTGTTCCACATACTATATCTCCATGGATGTAACCTGAGAACATGCTAGATTTTTGAGAATTACATCTCACAGCTGACTAATATTGAACTATAGTTAACCAACATTCCATTTTCTGGATGCTGAATTTCATTTTGCCTGTTCCATAATGAATCATTGGTGCTCTGTTCTCAAGGACAAGGCCTTTCATTTAGTTCAATAAAATTGCATTCCAATCAATGTGTAGGATTTGTTCCAACATTCTAACCAAATTGAGATTTGTTTTGATATCATGATTATCTAATCTATGAACTCTTTCTCTTAATATTTCTCTAAATCTTCTGTTAACTTTCCATCAGTTCAGCATCTCATCAGTGGGTTTAGTTACATGATTCACAAGTCCAAATGTCACTTCTTCAGTGAGATCTCATGATACTCTATCCAAAATTGATGCCCCCACCTCCAATCCAATATACTTCCTATATTCTTTATCTGCTCTTTTCATCCATTACATGGATACTCATCGAACATAACATTTTTATTTATTTATTTTATACTTCTTATATTTCTTTAGAATGTAAGCTCTATTAGAGGAGCAGTTTCTGTAAGTTCTATTCCCTGCTGGATTTCATATTTGTTGTATGGGTGTATTTGAATACATCAGCAATATCATTCAAATCAGTAAGACCAAGCTAGAATGCAGTACAATCTACTAGAGGTTGCTGCCCCTCACCAGGTTACTACTGACCTTTTGGTCACTCATAAGTCCACTTAACGGTATTAGCACCCAGCTCAACTTATCTTCACTTTATCCAGAAGGCTATCAAGAGAGTTTGTCACATTTTTTGGCTGAAATCAGATATTTTGTGTTGGTGGTAGCCCTCTGATCTATCAATCTGGAAGTTCTTTTCCAAAGAAAGGAAATGGAATTCATCTGACATAACTTATCACTTCCTTTTTCTAACTGCACACAGATCATCCTTTTGATGACTCATTTTAAATCCTGCTCCAGAAGGACAGTGTGTTAATCAGTGACCTGTCCAAACTCTTTGATTTCCGGCAGGGAGGTCCCTCCAGGTGTGAGATCCTTTTGGCTGGGGTTCAGGGCTTTTTCATAGACTGGCTATTAGAAGGTGGAGTTAGCACCACAGAGTTGGAAGGCTTAGGCTTAGATGCCATTCTTGTGTCGCATTGGAATATTACATTCTTTTTTTGTGGGTCTCAGCTTCTGCAGTGCATAATATAAAAATGGTATTATTTTTAAAAATATAGCGTGATTCTTTATTTATTGCTATTTACACCCTTTTGGTTTCATGTCTAGTTGCTACATACAGACAACAAAGATCTGAGATTTTTTATATATTTAGTTTATTTTTACTGCTGTTTGGATCTAAAGGATTTACATTTATCTTATCCATTTCCTTTTTTCCCACTCTTTCTGACACAGCTATAGTTGAGGCCCTTATCATCTCATCACTGAATTACTGGCGTCGCCTCCTAACTGGCCCCACATCTCCCATCTCTTGCTTCTCCATCTTAGACTTTTCAATCAGGCTAATTGCCTAGAACCTGGCTACTCAAAATGTGGTCTGTGAACCACAGCATCAGCATCTCTTGGGAGCCTGTTAGAAATGTAGACTCTCTCAGGCTCCACTCAAAACGTACAGAATCAGAATGTATAGGTCAACAGGACCCACAGGTGATGCAAACCCACATTAAAATCGAGAACCACCATCTTTTCTTCTACCATGCCATTCCCCTTCTAAGGGGTATCCTTAAAATTCACATTGAACCGGGCTGGGCGCAATGGCTCTCACCTGTAATCCCAGCACTTTGGGAGGCCGTGGCGGGTGGATCACGAGGTCAGGAGATCGAGACCATCCTGGCTAACACGGTGAAACCCCGTCTCCACTAAAAACACAAAAAAATCAGCTGGGTGTGGTGGTGGGCGCCTGTAGTCCCAGCTACTCAGGAGGCTGAGGCAGGAGAATGGTATGAACCCGGGAGGCAGAGCTTGCAGTGAGCCGAGATTGTGCCACTGCACTCCAGCGTTGGCAGCAGAGCTAGACTCCGTCTCAAGAAAATAAAAAATAAAAAATAAAAAATAAAATAAATTCACATTGAACCATCTCCAAACTATCTCAGGCAGAAAGGGATCCACCTTAATCTTCAAATGAGATATTTTTGACATGAAAGTGTAAATGCCCACCTTTACTTTCTTCTCATTGGTTCTGAGAATGATTAACTAGTTTATCTAGATAACTTTAGAACATTTGTAAAAATTACTGCGATTCAACTGGAGACTTTCTTCTGGTAGAAGCCAACTGATATATTGTTGTTTGGTGAGTGAGGGTTAAGGGAACCATGTGTGATGGGTTAGTTGGAAATGTTCCTATTATTTATTATGAATTTATTTTGTGTTTGACACAGTGACAGGTATTTTGCATACTTAATTTAATCCTCATAATAATCCCACTTGGGAAGGTGTTTTTATCAACATTTTACATGTGAGGAAACTGAGACTTAACAAATTTAGGTTGTCCAGAGTCACAGTTTTGGTTAGAGTTCAGGCTGTACTGTAGTAACAAAGATAAAAATACAGTGGTTGAGACAAGTTGCTCTGCCCTGAGAGGACTGGTGACCCCGAGTGGGAGACACTGATGCTCTCTGAAGCCACTCAGCTTCCCTCTCTCATCCTGCCTTGTCATCCCCACAGTGTTGTCCACACCCATTTGCTTGGATCTGGTTCCTGCCTTGGGAAGGGTGAAAGGGAAAGTGAAGAGCACGCAGTTTTCTTATGAAAACATAATCCAGAGGTTCTACCTGTCATTTGTACTCACATTCTGCTAGTAAAGGCTTGGTCACATAGCCACACCTACTTGCAAAAGAAGCAGAGAAATGTGGAAACTTGGGGAGTTATTTAGTAAAGGGAAGAGGGGGAATGGCTACTAGAGGAAAATTGTAGGCTCTGCCATAAGCTCCTACCCGATGAGTGGAAGAGCTAGATTCCAAGCCCATGACTAAAACCTGTGATCTTTCCATCACATTTTTTCACCACTTCTCATACTTGACAGCAAATATTTGTTGAATTGAGATAGGCCAAGGTATTATATATAAGCCTTTTGGTTATTTGAAATAGTTTCTTCTTTCTCTCTTGCCTCCCTGATTACCTATACAGTTCAGGGTTCAAACTGTCCCTGTTTCTGATAATGTTTTTTTTTTAATTTGTAAAACAGGAAACTGATGTTAATCTTCCTTCAGTAGAAATACTGTAATAAAATAATCCACCAATTATTAGAGGTTCTGTAAACCATATGAGATGTGATACTGGCTTAACGATACTGATCTTTTAAATGACCAGATAACCATCTCCTTTAAAATAAGTGTTGTCTTAGGAAAATGCCATTGCTGAAAACATTTTTTGATATTTTGGCTGGTATATCAGTTAACTCTTGCTGTACTAATGCTTCATGACTCCACCACCAAAATCTCAAAGGCATGCAGCGATATTTAATTTGTGTATCTGTAGGTCTCCTGGGGGTCAACTCTTTAGCCTAAGCCTTCCTGGCCAGCTCTGTTTCAGGTATCTATTGCCCTCCTTCTGAGATAACAGACTAGCATGGACATACTTTTCTCTGACGATGGCACAAATGTTAAGAGAACAACTAGAAATACTTGAGGCTTTTTGAGGCCTCGGCTGGGAACTGGCACAACCTGTGTCATGCCACCTGGCAAGTCATATGCCCAAACCCACAATCAAGGGCCATGGGAAATGCTGTACACCTTAAGTGAGAGAAAATGTAGTCACGTAGTAAAGGATTTGGTGAAGGACCAGAGCCAACAAAGAAACCTTCAATTGCTTTGCCTTTCACAAGTTACTTTGAATATTTGCAGTGATAGTAAATCTTTTAAAGGTACCTTTGAATTTTTTTAGTAAAACGGCTAAGTTTATGAATAAAATTAAAGAATCAAGCTAGGTTTATTTTTAGGCAGAAAGGTAGCTATTTAAGCATGTGTTATAAAATAATGAGGCTTATTTCTAGAAGAATTGATTCAAGAATATGGCTTGTGATGGCAGAATAGTTGGAATAAATGCACAGCCTTTTAAGGTGACCACTTTGAAATGATAACACTCATTTAAATATTGGGTTATAAAATTTTTTTTAATAAGGCTTGTTACTTATAATCCTATGTTACCACTTTGTCTCAAAGTGGGAAGGGGATGTTATAAAATAATGAGACTTATTTCCAGAAGAATTGATTCAGGAATATGGCATTTGATGGTAGAATAGTTGGGATAAATGTATAGCCTTTTAAGGTGACCACTTTGAAAGGGTAGCACTCATTTAAACATTGGGTTATAAATTTTTTTTTTTTTTAAATAAGCCTTGTGACTTATAGTCCTATGTTACCACTTTGTCTCAAAGTGGGAAGGGGACTGAATAGAGGCCCATCCCTGATCCTTTGACTAATCCTAGAAAAATGTGCTTTATGTGCAGATTCTTATTGCCAAGTCCCCTCTGGCTCCCTTCACCTCATTTGTCTACACCATCAAGGAGGAAGGCCTGGTTCTTCAAGGTAAGATCCTTGGATTAAGCCATTTCTTTCAGCTGATTATGCTCAGTGCTGCCCATTGCTAGTGGTAATTACTGCTATGGTTCTGATAGAAGCTAGCTCTAGACAGAATCAAAAGCCAAGATGCATTGGCCAGTGATATTTACCCTAATGAGAGCAAGAGATCAGCAGTTGTGGCAAGAATTTGACAGAGAAGATTGAGGTAGGGCTGAAGGAGACCTACAGAATTTCCTAACAGAATGAGACAATCAAAACATGAGGATCAAACCAAGAAAGCTCGGAATTGCTACCACCCCATTCCTCTTTGCAGATCCTATGGCATGAAGTGGGCAATTATTCTGACACCAGCGGGGAGGTGAGGAGCCAATGCTGCCCCAGAGCCCCCTTGCTTAACAAGCTGAAGAACCGTCTGGGTTGGCAGCCTCTGGGGCACAATATCATGACTCCATGAGCCCTACTTCCCTGACTTCTTCTGGTTATCCTGTTTCCTTTTCCTGTCCTGTCCTGACATGGTCTTCCTGCTGGGGACCAGACCTTTAGGACCTGCACCTTGTGACATGAGCCCAGGACTTAGAAGGAGCTGAGTTCTTGCTTAGGGTAGAGCACCCTGAGGCCATGTCCTGGAACTCACTGATCTACAATGGCGATTCATTTCTAGATGCTAGATATGCCAGTGGTTAGGAAAGGCACTGGAATGCAGGTCTTTCCAGAAAATAATTAACATAAAGGGGTAAATTCAAGCACTGTTAGAAGAGTCAGCCCACAAGATCAGATGTCCAAAACTGCTTTGCGGATGAGGAAGGATCCACACAGAAGTGCTCAGGATACACATCTGTCCCCCGCTGTTGGGCAGGAGACCCCACCCACAGAGATGCTTAAGTGAATATCTGGCCTCACCCTAGAGGAGCATATTGTCACTGCTGTCCATGGGAGAAGGCCTGCCCTGAAGGATTTATAAGTTAAGTATTTTTCCCAGGTTTGTGAAACAGGGCAGTCCCTGTAATTTCCCCATGGAGATACATTGCATTGCAAAGACCTAGCAAGGATTATGTGGGGCAGGCTGGGGAGTTCATGCTTCCAACTAAGGAACAGGCTGCAGCCTTCCCTTTCCTTCCCCTTCTAAAATGTCTGCTTCTTAATGGACTCACAAAGCAGCATGTTTGTTTGGTGCAGCTGAGCTCCACAGCGGGGAATCTCAGGTCCACGAAATTTGGGGTGAGAACTACAACCTTTGGCTCTTAGCCTTTGACTTATGCTATCCAAGTTCCTTGGTAAATATTTTTTTTTACAATTGCAAATAGTGTTTTCTGACAAAAGAGCAGAGATTTTAAGACCAGATTAAGCAAAGCAAACAGCAGGCCTCTTTGTTACATACTCTCTAAGGGTGTATAACTAATAAGCAATCAGAAAGCTGGACTTTTATTTACCCAGTACACAGGGTGGCATTCAGCTCTTCATTTTTAGAGGCTTTCTTAAAAGATTAGAAGTATAGTAAGTAGCAAATTTAGATGAAGATTTCAAGAAATTCTATGAAAGACTACAAGATAATTTCAGGAGGAAAAGAGTTTGTTCTGCTCGGATGACCTGTATGAAGAGCCTTGATGTGATACATGCACCCTGATCACTAGGCATTTTGTTAAATAATATTTCTAAGCCTGGTCAAATTTGGATAACTTTTGGGATAATATTTGTGAGAACAAGAGTCACTGAGTTACCTCTCTAATGCTCATTGCTAAGATCATGATTTTAAGAGGGAAGAGAAAGTTATTTAGAGAAAGTAGAGCCTGGAAATACAATGAATTGGTAGAGGTTAAAAAAAAACTGCAAGGAATGACTTTTTGAAAAAGTTGGAAAACAGGGGAGAAAGCAGATCACTAAAGGAGGCTGACCTGGAGCTGTGTCTAGGAAAGATAAAAATTCAGGAAAATGTCTTATGATTCAAGAACAACAACCAGTAAGTAAAATGCTTGGTTGGGAGACCTTAGAACCTCACCTGGGTGCTTTCTAAGTTGTTTTCTCTCTCCCACTCCCCCAAGCTACACATCCATCTCTGAGGTTTCCCAGAAGCAGTGGAACACCTCTGCTTTTACCAGCAATGCCCGTGAAAACAAACCTCTTGACACGCCCCGCCTTCTTGCTGTGTGCTCCCAAAGACTTTGGGAAAACAAAAAAATGCGGGTCCCCAGAAAATGCAGGTCCCTCCTTTATTAGAAAGAATCTTTGGATTTTGCTTTCAGCTTTGTTATGATCTTGAGAAAATATCTGGGCCTTGATTTTGTCAGCTGGAAAATGAAAACATTAACCTTGATTCAAGGCTTTGAAAACTGTCGCAACCCATTGGTGGGTCATGAAGTGAAACTGATGAATCACAACCGGCATTTGAAAACCGAGAGAGAGAAGACAGAAGAAAGAGAGAAGAAAAAATACCAGATTATATCACACATATTGTATCATTTCATAAAATATTTCTTATGTGAGTGTGTGTTTGTGAATGTGCGCACGCTATGGGTTTCTGTGGGGGCCGCAGCATAAAACGTTTTTCTTACATGGATTGTTGTAACCAGCCTGCAGCATCTCCAACAGCCTTGTCATATCAGCTTTGTCCGATCCTCCTAGGCAAGGATGTACTCATCATTCCCTTAGCTCAGCCCAGTTGTACCCTTGAGATCGCCACATACTGCATCATCAAAGCTAATTTTTCCCCCTTCTTACCAGATGACTGAACTAAAAGACACCTGCACGGTTCCCCAGGTTTAAAGCAAAGAAACCCTTGGTCTCTGGGTGGAAAACTTGGAAAGTTACCGTCAGTCAAGGCCAAGTAGCTTTCCTTCCATGAGGAGTTGCACCGGCAGGTGAGCCCCGAGTTGGTGTGGAGGTTGGCACCTGGAGCTCTGGGTGGGATATGCAGCCTATGTCCAGGGACTTAGAGACAGACAGGGCAACTCCTGTGCTGCCAACTAGAAGGGAGACCGCCAGCCACTGTGGCTGACATTCAGTCTTCAATAGAGCCACCTGGATGGTGGAAACAAGCCCACCACACCGGCTACCTGTGGGGGTAGGGAATGATCCCTCGGTGCCTTTTATCCCTTAGCAAGCCCCAAGATGCCTACTGGCCTGCTAGCCAGGAGATTTTATAATACCTGAAGAACTCCTGAGTGCTCAAGCAGAGGGAGGGAATAAAAGGTGAGGGCAGAATTCGATTTACCAGCTCCACAGGCCATTTCCCTCACCGGTTCTCAAGGATTAGGATGCTGAGAACAGTCAGCAACTGGGGGCCTTCTACCCTTTCCTCCCCTTTGTTCACTGGGATGGGAAGGACAATAAAGCGGCAGGCTGGAGAGACTGAGGGGCTGGTTAGAGATTTCTCAGGCTGCTTTTTGAAACACTTGAAGGAGCCGGTCCATGCTATTGTTGTAGTAAAATAGAAAGCGGAACTATTCTCTTTTTGCAAAAAGAAGAAGAAGAAGAAAAAGAAAGAAAGAAAAAGTAAATGAAAGAACCCCCCTCCTCCCAGCATCTTCAGGAGGCCTCAACTCAGGCCATTAACATGGTAATACCATCCTGTTTGCATCTTCTTTGTCTGTCCAGCGTTTGTCTGGGATCCTGGCCTCTGGATGCTGGACCCTGGATGCTGGAAATACTTAGGCCCCAAAGGAGAGGGAGCTCACAGCCACCAGTTTCCTGAGGGTTTGGACTCTGAGAGGGGGCTAGATCCCAGGCAGAGAGTTGAGCCTCTCTGTGCAATGAAGTGGGAAAGGCAGAGGTAGGAGGGGATCTCATGAATCCATTTTTCCTTTGGTCCCCAGAGTTCACCATGCAAGTCTCAGTGCCTGCCAAGTGAAAAAGCTTAGCGGTTTGGCTAGCTTCTTAGAGTGATGCTCAGGTGTGCTGGGGCCTAGTGGAGAGGGAAGAGCAGGAGTTGGTTCTGGGAATCAGCTTTAATGGTGTGTGCCCACAGAAGCACCTGGCAGCAGAAAGGAAAGGGAGTTTACAGTGAACTCCAGGCTGATGCACGTCTCCTCTGGTCATGTCCTTTGTTCCCCTGGCAAGCCTCAAATGTTGTGCCACCCAGAACACAGCTGGGACTCAAGGCCAGGAATAAAGATTCTGTCATTGAAAGCAGCTGGGCTGTGTCGCTGGCACTGCAGGAGGCCTAGAGGAAAACCCAGGTCCCAGCTCTCTGGGAGCCCTCCTAGTTTTCAGGGGCTCATAGGCACAAACACCTGCAGACTTGGGGAAACAGAACCTAAGGAAGGGGAGGCCCAGGGGAATGAAGGGTTGATCTAGCACAGCCTCCCCTTTACTCCTTTCCACAGGGATCTGGGGAGGATTTGTAAAAGAAAAGCCAGGTTGTTTGGAACAGGACAGAAGATAGTGGCTTAGTTCCCCAGTAAGACAGAAGCGTGTTTTTTATACCATTTTTGCAAAATCAAAGTCAGGTATGACAGGTTGAATTTGGATCCTGACACTGTTGTCTATCAGTGTAGGTTTAAATGAGCAGCATAAACCGTGGAGTGGGAGCTGGGGAGACCAGGGCACCGTGAGACAGGTCCAGAGAAAGTGCTGGAAATGAAATTAGTTTCCCATATCTCCAACCACTTGGCATAGGGTGGCAGAAGAAAACAGAAAACAAAGCAACAGTGATCCTTTTTAGAGCTGAAAAGCTATGTGCCTCATCTTTCTTGATTTGCTTTTGCAATCAAGAACGGTTTGATCACCTTTTGAAACATATCAGGAAAGGCATTAATCTCTTCTGTTTGTTCCCTTGTCACAAACTTGCGTTAAGTTTTCCCACCCTGTTTTTTCAGTCACTGAGCCAACTGGATGATTTATTGAAAAAAATTTCCCCCCAAATACCACCCCCTGAGTTCATCCGATTTCAGTTTGAATCAGTAACCTATCAAAATGTTTTATGCTGCTGGACTCAAAGTGACCCAGAAGATTCTCTATTTATTTCTATCCAGGTACAGAGGTGTCTGCATGGTAAATACCACCTCTGCACC